ATTCAGGAGAAATGAAGGTCAAAGTTACGAATTTTAAACACTAGTCTTTTTGTACGATATATCCGGGAATGATATTGTGAAATATTAATGTATAGACAATTCATGCAAGTTTTGTTTCTTTGGCAAGGGTTTTCAGTGATGAACTAATCTTTTAAGTTACCTCCCTTCGAAAACTATTGCATGCATATGCATCCGGCTAATCAGGCATTTCCATCTCCGATTTACCATCTTCACCTTCCAACAACAAATTAAATTAAGACACAGTGAAAAGTTACTAAACCAACACTGAAGAGACGATCATTTGCCAATGATGCAGGATACACAGAACATTGATTGCACAAGCATTAGTCGACTACAATTTTACAATGAACAATATGCGGGTTTAAAAAACACAAAGGATAAATGATCGATAGAGTTCTGGGACCAAAAGAACCTGTGTGGCTGTAATTCTGAAAAGAGAACTGATCTCCCGTGTTTCCTTCTTGCTAATTGTGTCTTTGAGAGCAAATACTGATTGCATGTATTTTATAGCCTTGGGATTCAGCAAATCTCGGGGTCTCTTACCTGCATAAATGATTTTAAATAAATATGATCTGACTTTTGTCCTGTCAATCAGGATAAAATCAACCTATGAACAGAAAATAAACAACGCCTGAGTCATGTAATCCATAGATAAAATAGTTGGTCAAAATCTAATTCAGTATCATTTGCTTATTTAAATTTGCAAAGAATATAATTCCTTGTCAAAAGTATAAGCTGCTAATTACGATTGTTCCAAATATATTTTTAATCACCAACTAGACAAAACTGGACGTGCGAACATCTTCAGATTAAAAAAAAAAAAAACAAAACTAACCTATGTTAATTAATAGTGATCCAGCAGCCTGCATCAATTTTTACAATAAGTAGATGAGTAAGCAACAAAATTATCCGAAAAACCAATCAACGAACGAAATGTAGTTTTTTTTTTTTTTTTTAGTAAAGAAAAGGGACAGCGGATTCTGCATATTAAGAAGAAATGTTACCATTTCTTGACAGAGCGGATTGACACCAGTGAGTTCGCATTGGGTGATGACTATATTTTCGAGGCGTTCGATCTGGCTCTGGAAAAGATACAGCTGTGCGTGCAACAAGTCATGATACGACGCCGCAGAGCTGGTTGTAGCCTCCAGTTCTACTAACTGATTATCCGCATTCGGCAACTCCATTAGTAATTTTAGAAATAATCTATGAATCGTAACACTCGAAGCATAAGAGTTACAATTAGTAAAAATTAAAGGGGTCGAGATCTTTAAAACAAAAAAAAAATCAGTTCACATAGCCCAGTGTTTCTGGATTTGAAAGAAAGAGGGTTCGAGAGGGAAGGGGAAAGGGAAGAAATTAGGGTTATGAATTGTGATTTTGCGAGGGAGAAAAGAGAGGAACGAAAGCAAAACGGGGAATGAGAAATTGGTTTATCCAAATATAGGAATTGGCAAACATGGTCCCTAACTATAGGCCCTCTGCGCATTTGGTCCCTATTCTTCCCAACTTAGCACGAAAATCCCTAATTACTTTTCACATATGATATTTTGAACGGTTGTCATTCAGTATTTCGATTATAAATGTGTGGTTGAATTTAATATTTAACTTGATTTTAAAATATTCATAATTGATTCAGTTAAAAAAGTTCATTACTGATAGTAGAATCTTTATATCCCCGAGCTCGATCATAATGCCCGAGCTTAACTGACCTTGATTACACCAACTGTGAGGCTGGGCTTGGAGACTAGGTCGTGCTTGGGGAAAAGGTCGAGTACGTTTTATTCCAGTCCAGACCACTTGACCTCATCTTACGTATCTTTGGAATAGTAATTCTATTTTAACTAACACTCCTATTCAGATACGCAATCTCAATTTATTACAAATTCGACTTTAACTCATTCTACACTTCTAACATAAGACAAACACCTATAATAAAAAAGACAAGGATTGTATGAAGTTAAGTCTTTTTAGGATTCCACCTTCAACATTTATAAATGCATGATCCAACCTCATTATTCACGTATGTTTATACATAATATTCCAACATACATCCTTTTGTACAATTTCTCTATTTGACTTCAGCATTGAAGGGGCGACGAGGAAACACTTCGACGCCTTCTTTCATGTATTAAAAATCGGATCGTGCAAAGCTCAAACATCCCGTTCGAGTTTATTCAGGTACAAATTTTTGGTAACATCAGTTACAATTTAAATATAAACTATGGATTAAATTTAACTATAGATTTTATTGGATTCATAGCTTTTCAATAATATATTTTATCAAAATTTATTAAAATATACAAAAAAAACTAACTTTTATATAGACCAAGCATTAATTAAAATACAAAAAGAAAGCATTATGACGAAACCTGAGATACAACACCAATGCCATTACAGGATCACATATAATGCACGTATTATGTACTAGTACTAACGATTTTATGTTCACTAGTTAGAGTTAAACATGCATTATACATTATTTTGAAATATTTTTTAAGTGATGTAAAAGTAAAATTCGATACTAATTTGTTGGGAGAATTTGATGAATCTCAAACTAATTAAATAAAATAAAATTTAGAATATAAATTTATGAGAAGAAAATCGTACTCTCAAAACTTAACTTCTATGGTTCAAATTTTTTTTTTTTTGGGTGAAATACTACAAATGAGTAATATTTTTATACTACATTTGATACATAAGAATTAATTGCTAATACATAAATTTAAACACTCATTAAAAAATTCTTAGATACATGAATGAAAATAAATTAATTTATAATAACCATAAATTTATGTAGATCAATATTCATTTAGTTAAGATTCATTGAATCTATATTAATGGTGTGTTTGATAGATATTATCAAAAAAATAATTTATTTTAAATAGTAATATGATTGAAAATATATGGTTAAAAAGTAAGGAAAATTATTGATGTGATGAAAAATATTATTTTATTAAAGAATGTACGATTAAAAATGAGTTTTGAAATAATGTGCGTCAAACAAGTGATAATATAAATATTAATTAATTGAAAATTAATAATACGAAATTCATATATAACAAGAATTTTATAGTACGAAAAATAAGGTATTATTGAAATAATTGAATTGTAGTATGATTAAAATCGTCCAAAATTATTTTGATTTGATATGATATTTAATATATTATATGTATGTTCTATTTCTTCAAAAATCAACATGAATTTATTGTGTGATTGACGAAAAGCAAACCATCAACAAAGTTCACAAGAGCCAACAAATGAAAGACAAGGTACAATGTTGCCAATAAACAAAGGTCAAGCATTAATCCTCGCGAGTGTAAAAAATAATAATACTGACTCTAATTGTACTAAAACAGTGGAAGTAATTTGTTGAAAGACGAGAAAATTTTGAAATTGCGATAAATTAAAAGTTCAATCTTTAACTGCGTCAAGAATTTTCATATATCAAATTTCCAAACGCACAAACTGTACACGAGTACTCTGTCGTAGAATTCAAAAATTTAACCTTCAACAATTAGTCCCCATTTGATTTAGATACAAAATTAAATTTTCAGTAGATTTCATAAAAATTAATATAATGTATAACTAAAAATGAATTTGAGAAAAATAAATTTTCGAAAAATGGGGCGATTCACCGAGCAAGGAATTTGTGATCAATAAGATCACAGCAGGTTGATATTTTAAAAATATAAGGGAGCGTCCTCAATTGAGATTGTGGTGAATTTTAAAAATCTTTTTAAATTTAGGTAGTTTCAATTGAGACTTTAATAAATTAAAATTTAGGTGTCCCCTAATTGAAATTTTAATGAAATCCTTCAAAATTGTTATCCTCAATAATTGGTAGATTTATAAAAAATTTATTAATTGATGAATTTTAAAAGATTTGGATGGATTTCAAGTTTAAAAATACATATAACCAATTTTATCCTAATTTCACCATATTTAGAGCTTGTTTGGAAGAGATTTTTGGGGGAAGAATTGATTTTGAATAGTGATATGATGGGAAATGTGTGGTTGAAAAAGAAGAAAAAATTATTGATGTGATGGAAAATATTATTTTATTGAAAAATGTGTGGTTGAAAATGAGAATTGATTTATTTCATATTTTTTATGAGTGAATGTATTTTTTTTTTTGTGATGTGATGATGAATATGTGGTTGAAAAGGAATGAAAAGATATAAATGTGATGAAAAATATTATTTTATTGAAGAAAGTGTGGTTGAAAATAAGAATTGATTTACTGTAGAAAAATCAAAATTCCTCCCAAGCAGGGCCTTAATGAAATTCTTATTAAATTTGTGGAAATTTATAAAATTCATGAAATTAGTTGAGGATACCCTATAAATAAATAATTTCAGATATATTCCGTCCAGATGTAACTACACTTTTTGCCTAGTTATTCTGCAATTCCTAATTCATAGGGTTTCAACATTCAAATTCGATCTTTATATTTTCACGTATCACATTGATATCGAAACTATTTTCACCATAGCCTCCTAGGTTTTTACAACTATCGTGAAAACCCTGTATTCAGATTCCTCATAGGCGAGGCACACGTATGATTCCTCGTACGGGAATTGTGTACGTTTTTCTACTTGAACACTGGCCTTTTTATACGATTATCCGTGGATGATGTATATTTTGCGATCTTTTGTTTGCTTTCGTAATTTCTTCTCTTTATAGAACACACTCTTAGCGTACATTGGCTACGCTACATCGGAAGAATTTAGAATTGAATTTATGTGGGATTAGCCCTAACTACTTGGTCCTTAATTGTCAGAGGGAATTTGATATAGCAGTTCATGTTTATTTGTACAGAACGAGAACTGGACAAATCTTATTGCAGCGATCCTTTTTGTGTATAGTTGTTCATATCATTTTTTATATTATTTGTATACTGCTATTAATGCTTAGTGTGATTATATTCCAATTGGGTTCATGATATTGCAGATTGTAGTATAGAGCTTTTGGAGAAGATGACGGTTAATCAAATGAAAACTATCGATTTGGAGGAAGGATGGAATTTCATGCAGACGGGGATCACAAAATTAAAGGATATATTGGAGGGACAGGCAGAAACACAGTTCAGCCCCGAAGAGTACATGATGCTTTACACGTATCCTTTCTCTTTGTTCCAGGGAATTGTCACATTCAATTTATCAATCTCTCCTAGTATTTAGGGCTTTCATGGTTCCCTCCTCTAGGGTTATAGAAGAGAATATTTGTATCAGTTGATATATTTGTAGAAATATTTATTAGTATAAGCACTAGCAAGAATGAATAGGAAGGTCACTGTCTAATATGAGTGATTTATCCTTGACATGAAACGCAGAACCATATACAACATGTGTACCCAGAAACCTCCTCACGATTATTCACAGCAACTATACGAGAAGTACAAGGAGGCTTTTGATGACTATATTCATTCAACGGTAGCTACCTGAGTTGCTCAATTTACTACTGCACATATTTTGGTCGTCCCATGACTGTATTGCCTAAACCTGTTATAGAAATCACGGGTGCTTCTCATTTACAATGCCTGTTTGAGAACATTTGAATCAAACAGTTTTGCATTTTTGGACAGATTGGAAGTTGTTTCGGTTCTGTTATTCCTTGATATATAGAAATATATGATCAAAATTTGTCAACAATATTCACTTGATTGAGTCATTATGCACTTGCTTATTTTGACTACCTTCTTTTTGTTGATTGAGGAAGTAGGTAAATTAATATATGTTTGGGAAGTAAGGCATAAATAAGAGGACATTATGCCTTCAATATTCAAGAAAACATTATTGCCATTTCAGAGTCGGAGAATACTCAAAACTAGAAACCTCAATATTTTCAAATAGAAACCCACGTTATCCTCTGCAATAAATTTTAGGATGAGAGAAACAACATAGGTATTTTTTTTTTGTATTTTCCAGCTAAATAGAAACCCATGTGATCATTTACTAAATTTCTTTGAAAGCTGATCGCCTTAATTTGAGGCAAGCAAAGTAGGTTAATTTATGGATTTGGAATGCTTAGTTTCTCTCACGATTGCTTTATAATAAGCCACAAATGCTATTTTTTTGATCTATAGAACTATGTGTCAATGATTGTGTTATCATATACATTGGCTCATTTTGATGGTTTGTTTCTTTTTGTTGACCGAGAAAGAAGGTAATTAATACACATTGGGGAGGTAAGACAAAATTAAGAGGATAATGCTGGCTGTTTTGTGTTGAATGTGACGTTCTGAATAGTATTACTTTTAGCCCCCTTTTCTTTTCAATTACACATTCTTCAATAAAATAATATTACACGTAAATCCAAAACTTTTATATCTTTTTTAACCACACATTCTTCAAAAAATCACAATTTTAAAATACATTTTTTCCCATAATTTGATTTTAATGGAGCCCAAACAAGGGCTTAGTTTTCTTGAAGCTCTATTTCTTTCAATTTTAGGGTTCGGTTGTTTTTTGTCCAAACTGCATTTCTTCTATCCTTTGTATCTAATTTGGTATTCCGTCTTCTCTTGTGAAATGTCTTTGCTTCAATTTAGAGTTGTTCTACAATACCATTCTCTAATCGTGCTGCTGTTGTCTTTTGTATAGGTTCTGACATCTTTGAGAGGAAAGCATGATGAATTCATGCTGAGGGAACTTGTAAAAAGATGGGTGGATCATAAAGTCATGGTCAGGTGGCTTACACGTTTCTTTCACTATCTTGATCGATATTTTATTGCTCGGAGGTCGCTCCCTGCACTCAAAGAAGTTGGGCTGACCTGCTTCCGTGATCTGGTTAGTTACAGTTTACACCTATTTGCGTCCTTTTTGTTTCCATACTCACCAAACAACATATATTTTGGTGGGTGTATTTTTTGGCAAAATTTATCTTCATTTTAGTTTTTACCTGAAACTATAACGACTTTTGACTAATAATTTCCTTTATTGACGCTAGGTTTACCAAGAAATGAGAAGTATTGCCAGAGATGCTGTTATTACTCTTGTAAGGACCTTTAATTGTCAATATGCATTATCTTTTGTATTTGATGTTGAAGGTGGTCCAATCCCTTTAATTAAAGTAGTTACCTTCGGATAAATAGAAAGTTAAATTGTTTCTGCGGTAGCCGGTAGAGGCTCCCCATATAACTGATGTATCTCATATAACAGATTGATCAAGAACGTGAGGGAGAGCAGATTGACAGAGCTTTGTTAAAGAATATTTTGGATATATTTGTTGAAATCGGAATGGGGCAGATGGATTACTATGAAAATGACTTTGAAGATGTCATGCTTCAAGATACTGCTGCATTTTATTCAAGAAAAGCATCAAACTGGATTGTGGAAGATTCTTGTCCAGATTACATGATGAAGGCAATATTACCTGTAGATTCTCTTACTACATTGCAGCATAAATAGTAATTTGTTGTTCATTTAATCTTTGTTTCGTCTATAGGCAGAGGATTGCTTGAAGAAGGAGAAGGACCGAGTATCTCATTATCTACACTCCAGTAGCGAGACAAAGCTTTTGGAGGTTTGCATTCTAAATTACTATTTATGCTTTAATTTCAATCTGGCATAAATTGCATGTTAAATGTGCTTGATATTCTTATGGAAATAACTTCTTGTTATATGCAGCAAATACCTGTATCTTTATTAAAAGGTCTATCTTACGATATTCATTTGGTTTTGTATCTTTGCCTTTTCTTGCACTCATACTATTTGGTGCCTTGGCAGTAGAACTCTGATCTAAAATTATTAAAGAGTTCGCAATGTGTCCCTGCACCACATTCTAACATTGTGATGCTGGCATTTTGGTTTATGCTAGAGATGACAAGGCTTGTTTACTGAACATGAAGCTTACATACCTTGATTGTCATTATTTTTTCATAAATCATCTATGTGCTAGCTGCTCATGCTCACGGTCTCTATTTTCAATTGTAGAAAGTGCAAAATGAATTGTTGGTGGTACATACCAATGATCTGTTGGAGAAGGAGCATTCTGGATGCCGTGCATTGCTTAGAGATGATAAGGTACTATTTACTTTGTTCCATTAGCTGAAATTATGTCGAAAATAGGCAAAAAGGAATATCTTACATTTATGCCACCTTTTGGATTCTGTATGGAGTATCAGGTGGAGGATCTTTCCAGGATATACAGGCTCTTCCACAAGATTCCGAAAGGATTGGACCCCGTTGCCAACATGTTTAAACAGGTCTTTGTCCCTATAATATTTTTTGATAATGTGAGGTCTTTTGACTTTTCTAACATGAGTACCTTCTGTGGGTTGCATGGAGCAGCATGTCATTTCTGTAGGTATGATTTTAGTCCAACATGCTGAGGATGTAGCAAGTAGCAAGGTCAGTCTTTGATTTTTTGTATGGTATTTTTGCCTTATATTTAAATATTCTAAACTTGCATCAATAACAATCCTTTATGAAAGTAAAGGTTTGTCATGTAATTATTTAACAGTATTTGAAAGTATTATTTTATGATTTTTGGTTAGCAAATTCTTGAAAACATTCTTGGGGCTGCATTTTGTTAGTCAGTATATGTCATTAAAGTAATAGCACACATACGATCGCCGCAGTAATCCTTCAATTTTGGAGGAAGATAAGCTTTAGAGGAAAACCAATGGTCAAACTGGGAATTGTAGTATTATCTTGACCTCACCATGTGTGAACCAAATTCTCGCTCTCCTGTCTTTTATTTTATTCGTAGAATATATTTTTTTTCTCTGGGGGTAGAAGGAATAACAGACAAATAGTTTACAATTTCCTGTATGTAACTTATTTGTGTTCAGAGCGATTTATGAACTTCCTCGCAAGCACATTGTGTCATCATTGCATTTGGAAGTACTAATCCCTCTTCCTGCGTTTCTGTAGGCTGAGAACACTAGTGGAGCACAGGAGCAGGTGAATTACATTTTTAGGATATGTTCATTGAGATGAATGCTTGGGGTTGGCTTGAAGGTTTGACTTTTGTTAACTTATCCAGGCATTTGTCAAGAAAGTAATCGACTTGCATGACAAGTACTTTGCATACGTTACAGATTGTTTTTCAAACAACTCCCTGTTTCACAAGGTATGAGTTGGATTTAAATGTTGTCTATTAATTCTGGCTTCTTATGTTACTGATGGCTAAATTTCGGTGTTATCAAATCTTTATAGGCTCTGAAGGATGCTTTCGAAGTTTTTTGCAACAAAGTTGTTGCTGGCTTCTCTAGTGCAGAGCTTTTGGCATCATACTGTGATAATATTTTGAAGAAAGGGGGAAGTGAAAAGCTCAGTGATGAAGCTATTGAGGATACTCTGGACAAGGTAATCTATTGGCATGTTAATTTGATGTTTCACTTTGGCAAATTTTGGATCTCTTAAAATGGTTCTTGAGTATTTGCAGGTAGTCAAACTCCTTGCCTATATCAGTGATAAGGACCTTTTCGCTGAGTTTTATAGGTGCTACTTTGTTCTCCATGAATTTGTCTTCTTTCCGGCATTTTTTATTTTGTAGTATGTTGTATTTTCTTAATGATATTGGATATTAATGTTGCTCACGTCATTTTTTGATAGAAAAAAGCTCTCTCGTCGGCTGCTTTTTGACAAAAGTGCCAATGATGACCACGAAAGACTAATTTTAACGAAGCTAAAACAACAATGTGGTGGGCAATTTACATCAAAGATGGAGGGAATGGTTAGTTGAACATCACTATTACTTTTATTTTCTCTTTGTTCGTGTTTGTGAATTATAATATTTATCATATCTTTTGTTTCTTCGTCTAGGTAACTGATTTGACATTGGCAAAGGAAAACCAGAACCACTTCCAGGAATATCTCAGCAACAATCAAGCTGCTAGTCCAGGGTTGGAGTTGACTGTCACTGTTCTCACAACTGGATTCTGGCCTAGTTATAAATCTTCTGATCTGAGTCTCCCAGCAGAGATGGTGGGATCCATTTCTTTTCATATTTTTATGGAATTGAAAATTCTATTTGATACGCATAATTTATGGATTTACGTTTCCTGGAATAATTTTTTATTTCAGGTGAAGTGTGTTGAGGTTTTCAAGGAGTTTTATCAAACCAAAACGAAACATAGGAAACTCACATGGATTTATTCATTGGGAACTTGCAACATTAATGGAAAGTTTGAGCAAAAAACTATAGAGTTGATTGTTGGGACATATCAGGTGAACCATCCATGGATCATTCTATTCAATATTTCCTTCCCTGATGCTTAAGTTTAAGTTCAAACTTTTGAATTGTGTTTCCAGGCTGCAGTACTGCTGTTATTCAATGCGTCAGATAGGCTGAGTTATTTAGACATCAAGACTCAGTTAAATTTGGCTGATGATGATTTAGTCAGATTGCTTCAGTCCCTTTCATGCGCCAAGTACAAAATTTTGGTTAAGGAGCCAAATACTAGATCTGTATCTCTAACTGATTATTTCGAGTTCAATTCCAAGTTCACGGACAGGATGAGGAGGATTAGGGTTAGAGATTTGTTTGGTGTTTTCTCCCTTTGGGTATTGCGCTCTTTCCTCTATATTGCACATTAGATAAGCTTCCATCTTTTATGTTTCAGATCCCTCTGCCTCCTGTAGATGAGAGGAAAAAGATAGTTGAAGATGTTGACAAGGATAGGCGCTATGCCATTGACGCGTCAATTGTGCGCATAATGAAGAGTCGAAAGGTTCTCGGCCATCAACAGTTAGTCATGGAGTGTGTTGAGCAGTTGAGCCGCATGTTCAAGGTATATCTCAGATTGTCCTTTATTTTGGCTATCTGCATCTTGTATGATAATGTTTTAGATGAGTTAAGGGTAGGCGTTGGGATAATTGTTGAGTTTATGTAGGAATTTGGATAATAGTTAACCTTGAGGGGTTGTTCAATTGGTCAGGCATTGGGTTTGCTCCCCAATGGTCACCAGTTCGAGTCCTATCAGGCCACTGAGGTGAGTACCCGGCTATAAATTTCAGGGTCCCGTGAGATTAGTCGAGGTGCGCGCAAGCTGGCTAGACATCCACGGTTATAAAAAAAATAAAAAAAAATTGGATAATAGTTGAGGTTATGTTAAATAAAAAAGGGGGTGAAATGTGGTGGTTAGTGGTGCAATATTTGATTACTTAGCTAATACTAAGCCCCTGACCATGATTTGAAAACTCTTTTTTCTACGTACTCATTTTCAACTACACATTCATACAATAAAATATTATGCACGTAAATCTAAAACTTTTCCTACTTTTTAACCACACATTCTCCTAAAAAACACTATTAAATCTTTGTTTTTCCAAAACAATGGTTGTCAAACTAAGGCTAAAATTAAGTTGAAAATGTACATCTCCCCGTGAAAGCTTGCTTTCTTAAATTGGATTGCGTACTTTACAAGGTCCAGTAAACCACTAGTTTGAAGAATATTTTTGAGATACAGTTCAGGGTTGTTACTAGAAAACTTAAAGGTGAAACCTTGTAAACTTGAAAAAATCCTAGTAGCAAAATGGAAATCTTTTAAAATATTTTGGGACAGTATCGTTGTCCTAATCCAAGCCCTTTGGCTGTGTCCTAGAGGGGCTTGAAACATGAATGCTTTTTGTAACTTTCGTGGCCACTCATAAACTTGGCATTATTATATGCCTGCTAATTTAATGAACTTAGCTAGGAGTATATATGTACTTTCATGCTGCTACATTATTATTTTTTTTTTCGGTGCTATACCAAGACAATCATGTAGACATGGAATGTTTGTTATGCAATATTATATTGAGAAGGATTAGACACAATGAACTAGATTTTAACTTGTTTTTCCTTTTAGTATTGTCGTGCACTGCCCCATTCCTCTCCACCAATGCTAATCAGAGTCGATTAACACAAGATGGCAGGATTATATACTGTTTTGAGAAATTTGTTTCCACACTATTTCCCCCACAGAAATTGCCTTTTATGGGCTCTTTTCAATTTTTTTCCTCATTTGTACAATTCTTGTGCAGCCCGACTTTAAAGCAATCAAAAAGAGGATTGAAGATTTGATAACAAGAGACTATTTGGAAAGAGACAAGGAGAATCCAAACCTGTTCCGGTACTTAGCATGATTCAATATTATTGAGTGGAGCACAGCGGTTTACTTGGTAATAGGGAAATGGAGTAGACTTTTTCTCGACTGTGTAGTAAGTAGGCGGCTCTGCAGTTTATACATATTACAAATTTTAAGTAGGGAGTAACAGAGAAGGTCATTGATAATTGGGGGCCATGCTGCTTCTTCCATAATCGTCTTCCATTTGTAATATTTTTTTTGTAAAAATGATCCAACAACAGGATATGTTTTGATTCTACTAGTTTATGAACCTGACTGATCACTTTTCTGTACAGAGGGCTTATTCGAGTTACTAACGGACTATTTGCCGCATCCAATATTCAATCCTAATCTTTGGTTTACTTATGAATTTTTCAAAATGGTTTATTTGAGTTATATACTTCAATTCTAAGGGTCCAAGCAAAATGTTTATGTAGAATTCAATTTAAGTCTCATGATGCATAGGTTTTGGGTTCAAGTTTTAAGGGATGTGAAATAAGTTTATGAGGAATAAGATGGAGACAAGCTCTCCCAAAGAAGACAGTAGGTATAAATGAACGATTTGGATATAGCCCTAGATTGTTACAATATAAATCTTTATGGACTATGGTATATTTACCAGACGGTAAAATGCACCGCCTAGGCGTGCCTACGCACGAAGCGTGGTCAAAACGCGTCGCATTCGGTATATGCGTGTAAAAATACGATCAACGCCTACGTTAACCACTAAAACGCGCGCAAAGGCGCGAAAATGCGTACAAAGGCACACATTTTTAAATTTTTTTAGTTTTTTTTTTTTAATTTACCATTTACCAATATTATATAATATAAATATAAATTATAAACACTCCAACTTCCAACCCACCAATTGACAGGCCTATGAAACTTATGAAAATGAAGAATTCGTTGGCCCATTTATTTATAGGCAAAAGTTCTTGGCCTTTATCTATAGGATTCCGTGTGGGATAACTTTGATGTGTTACTGTGCAAGCAAGCATTGAACTTGAAGGAGGCTTCTTGAATTTCCACTTTCCACCCTCCTCTTCTTCTTC